TTGGGACCTCCCTCTATCCCCTCCAACATTCCACATGGCATCATGGCCCCTTGCACTATCCCTACAACTCCATCCTGGGGGACATTAAAGACTATCACAGCCACAAATACACTGACCTGTGAAAGCCATGGATGGTGTAGGTATCGCTAAAATGGACAGGAATGTTCTTTCCCCTTCATAGGTTCTGTTATTTTTATTTATTAAATTTTAGTAAGTTTAAAATATATTTGTTTTAAAATGTAGTGTCACGGTTTCTTTTTTGCACTGAATTCTGTTACGAAATGTCTATTTAAAACTTAACTCATCTTTTAGTTTGCACCAACTGCTATCAACTGCTTAACAGGTCTGAAAGCAACCAAGTACTTGTTATTGCACAGTGTCACACAATTCATAGGCTCATTCATAAACAAAAGTAACAGCTGTATTGATAATCTTATACACCTACATGTACAGCAATCACCACACAATTCCTAAGAGGCCACAAAAGAGCAGGACCAGGTAGAGCACAGTATAACAAAATGCATTACTATGGCTCACTGTTAAAATGGCCTTTCAAAGCCTCTCTGAGCCATATAGCTCCATATTGAGCTCTTCTAATTGCCCTTGTGTATGGATGTTCAAACTCAGCAGACAGCTGTGCCACCTCCACCCCCTGGCAGAAAGTTTCCCCCTCCTTTGCTTCACAGATATTATGCAGGGCAAAGCAGGCAGCTATAACCATGGGGATATTTTTCTCATTGAGGTCCAATGCCATGAGTAAACAACACTCAGATGACCAAAATCATATTTGACTGTCATTCTGCACCTGCTGAGCTGGTAGTTGAATCATTCCTTGGTGCTGCTGAGGTGGCTGATGTACAGCTTCATTAGCCAGGGGAGCATGGGGTAGGCTGGGTCCCCCAGGATCTCTATTGGCATTTCAACATTCCCAATCTGCTGGTTGGAAAAGTCCCTGTTTGTAGCTTTCTGAACAGTCCTGTGTTCTTAAAGATGTGAGTATCATGCACCTTCCCTGACCACACTACACTGATGTTGGTGAAGCGTCCCTGCTGATCCACCAATGCTTGCATAACCATAGAAATGTAGCCCTTTCTGTTGATGTACTCTGCAGCAAGGTGGACTGGTGTCAAACTCAGGATATGCATGGTTAGGGGGATCAGACAGCAAATGTGAAAAATCGGGACGGGGGTGGGGGGTAATAGGAGCCTATATAAGAAAAAGACCCCAAAATCGGGACTGTCCCTATAAAACTGGGACATCTGGTCACCCTATGCATGGTGGCTATCGCTCCACCGCAGTTTGGAAACACCATTGCTGCAAATCCATCCGCTGTCTTGCACATTGCCCAGTCACAGTCCTGCACAGCAGGAGATGATTAATGGCCCCCACTGTGGATTTCCTAACTTCCAATTGATTTCTGACTGACCAGTAGCAATCTGGTGTTGCAAGTTTCCACAGTGCAATCGCCACTCACTTGTCCACTGTCAGTACAGATCTCCTTTTGGTGTCTCTGTGCTGGAGGGTTGCAGCCAGCTCAGTGCACAGATCCAGAAATGTTGCCTTGCACATCCAAAAGTTCTGCAGCTACTGCTTGTCATCCCAAGTCTTCATTACCATGCAATCCCACCAGTCAGTGCTCTTTTCTCAGGTTTAGAAGTGGCGCTCCACCATCTGCAGCTGCTCCATGAATGCCACAAACAACCATGAATTGGTTTTCGCTGTCCCACAGCAATTTGTTCTGCAAGAAATTGTCATGTCCTCCACTGATCTGGTTCTTCTTGCAGCTCTGCAAATACTCCAGGATCTTGCACCCAGTTCGTGCAACGCTTATGACAATATTGCAGAGCTGTGCAGGCTCCATGCTTTTGTTAGAGCTGGCAGACAGCAAAGAGCGCCGCACAGGTTTGTGGGATTTTTTAAAAAGATGCAAAAATTATGGGATACAGATGACATTATGGGATGGCAACAGTTGAAAACTGGGAAGTTGACACCCACGCTTCCAGTCACTCATGTGACTCATTTTGTTCCCACCATGCATTGCCAAAACTTCCCAAAAGGCAGTGTGCTGGATGGTGGTGGGTTGCACAGTGGGATACCTTGTCATGGTTCACCGCACTGTGCATTGACAGAGACTCCTGGTGAGCGCGCGCGCGCACACACACACACACACAGCCAAGTATGCACACATAGTAACTGTGGTGGCTTTATGCCAACATAACTTGCATCGAGATGAGTTTGTAGGGTAGACATGGCCACAATGACTGTGCTCCCTGATTGGACAGCAGGGCCAACAGATCACTATTTAAGCCTGGTAGTAACAACACCCTGGTGGCTGCTCAATGTATTCCACACCCACAGCTGCACCAGACCTGCTTCCTGTCCAGCCCTTGCTCCTGTCCTTCTCTGCTCCTCCACAGAGTCAGTCCCTGCCTGCCTCCAAACTCCTGATTTCTAATGCTCCAACCATTGGCTTGTCTTTGACTCTGATGAGATGGCTTGCACCCTCAGCAAGTTCGCAGATGACACTAAGCTGAGGGGAGAGGTCGATACACTGGAGGGTAGGGATAGGGTCCAGGGTGAGCTAGACAAATTGGAGGATTAGGCCAAAAGAAATCTGATGAGGTTCAACAAGGACAAGTGCAGAGTCCTGCACGTAGGACAGAAGAATCCCATGCACTGCTACAGGCTGGGGACCAACTGGCTAAGTGGCAGTTCTGAAGAAAAGGACTTGAGGATTACAGTGGACGAGAAGCTGGATATGAGTCAGCAGTGTGCCCTTGTTGCCAAGAAGGCCAACGGCATATTGGGTTGTATTAGGAGGAGCATTGCCAGCAGATCGAGGGAAGAGATTATTCCCCTCTATTCGGCACTGGTGAGGCCACATCTGGAGTATTGCATCCAGTTCCACCCCCCCCCCCCCCCCCCCCCAAAGGATGTGGGGCAAATGGAGAGAGTCCAGCGGAGGGCAACAAAAATGATTAGGGGGCTGGGGCACATGACTTATGAGGAGAGGCTGAGGCAGGGCCGGCTCCAGGCACCAGCCCACCAAGCTTGTGCTTGGGGTGGCAGCTGGAAGGGGGCGGTGCGGCGCTCCGGCCCCCAGGGAGAGTGGGGCCACGGCCGGGCTCGCCGCGCTCCCCCCCGGCGCTCTGGCCGCCCTCCCCCCCGGCGCCCTCCCCCCAAAGAGGATGGAGCTCGGCTGTTCTCAGTGGTGGTAGATGACAGAGCAAGGAGCAATGATTTCAAGTTGCAGAGGGGGAGGTCTAGGTTGGATATTAGGAAACACTATTTCACTAGGAGGGTGGTGAAGCTCTGGAATTGGTTACCTAGGGAGGTGGTGGAATCTCCATCCTTAGAGGTTGTTAAGGCCCAGCTTGACAAAGCCCTGGCTGGGATGATTTAGTTGGTGTTGGTCCTGCTTTGAGCAGGGGGTTGGACTAGATACCTCCTGAGGTCTCTTCCAACCCTAATCTTCTATGATTCTGGCTCTGCCTTCTGATTCTGCTCCAACCACTGGGTAGCACTGCCTACATCCCTGTGTGTGACAGGTGGTTCTGTGCTTGATGCAATATCCAGCACTCCTTGTAAAAAGGAGAAGGATGATGGTGTGTTCCAAGTTGGTCATGAGCTGCTTAATCCTCTCTCTGCACTGGTCATCAGGCTGGTGAATCCCCAATGCTGCCAGCTTCTTCACTATTTCCTGGTACACATGGTCATTCCTTGTTAAAATCAAGGCCGGCTCTAGGATTTTTGCCGCCTCAAGCAGAAACAATTTTGGCCGCCCCCCCCTGTTTTTTTCTTACCCCACCCCCAGCCCCGCCTCAGCTCCGCCCCTTCCCCAAATCCCCAGCCCTGCCTCCTCCCCCCAGGCTCTCAAACCTGGGAGGGAGGGTGAGTAGCGGCGCGCGAATCAGCTGTTTCGCGCGCCGCGGCCGCTCAGGATCTCCCCCTCCCTCCCAGGTTTGAGAGCCTGGGAGGGAGGGCGAGCAGCGGCGCGTGAATCAGCTGTTTCACATGCCATGGCGCGCGAGCGGCAGCAGCGGAGGTGAGCTAGGGCGGCCGGGGCACATTTTTAGGGGCGGCATTCTGGCGCCGGCCATGCCGCCCCTAAAAATGTGCCGCCCCAAGCACCAGCTTGTTTTGCTGGTGCCTAGAGCCGGCCCTGGTTAAAATCACACTTTTTGCTCATCTCACACCAGAGAGTCACCAAAATCTGGCTGTGCCTATGACCCGGAAGCAGTGTGCTTGGCAAAGGACTTGTTCTGGTGGTGGCCATTGCAAATGCAGGAGCAGGTTCAATGTGTTTTCAGCTCAGCAATCAGAATAAAATGAAAGGGTTAAACACCGAGCTACTGTACTAGAACAAGAGGGGCCACTTCTGTGTCTTGGGAGTCATTTACCACTCTTGGGATCGAGAGGCTAAACAACACAACAGTGTCAGCAAACTCTCAGGGCCCGAGTCTGGGGGGGCCTTGGCCCAGGCCCAAGCTGTGTCCATACTGCAAAATGATGGCATTTGGGCCTGAGCCCCCAGGGGAACCAGACTTGACCCTTCCACCCCTGTGGAGTTCTGGGCCCAGGCCCAAGTCAGACAGAATTGTGTGTAAACTAACAGGGGTTTGGGCTTGCCCCTGGGTCTGAGCCCAGGCTTACATCGCAATGTGTACGTACCCTAAGTCTCTCTGACGGGAGCCCTGCTTTGCACTGGTGCAGTGTCTCTACACTAGAGGTTTGAACTGATGTAACTGCTGGGGCAGAGTCCCCTAGTCTAGCCAGGCTCCAAGGCAGAGAGGGGAAGTGCCTTCCACAAGGTCACACAGGAAGGCTAGCAGAGTGGTTCCAGCTCCCCAGGGCTGCTGCAATAAGGGAGAATGGAACCTACAAATCTTCAGAATACAGGGACATGCTGATGTCATACAGAGGGGAGCTATTGTTCCACCCAATGGCTGGAGGACAGCCCCCCCCTCTCCCCCCAGACACAAGGGCAATCCGTCGCAGAAATGGAATATCAGCAAAAACTCACCAAGTTTTTGGCCCAATACTACATGAACGGCAACCAGCACTGGAAACCACATGGGAAACCATTGCTTAACAAGCAGCACTCACAGTATCACTGGTAACGTTGGGCAAGCATGTTTAAAGAAGGGGAATTTTCTCGGTGCCCTCCCGTCTGCTGGGGCAGCTCCTGTGTGCCCAGGGGTTCTGCCCTTAGGATTGGTCACACACTCTGGAGGTCCCCATCTGAGGGTTTTCATTCTGCCCACAGAATCATGAGATTCTGATGCTGAGCTCAGGTTTGAAGAGTTAACTCAGGTGTCGGGTTTGAGCTATTCGCTATCAGGACACCTCCATGGCAGTGTTAGAGCCCCCTTCCCTTTGTTTCACCAGGAGTTCAGGGGAATGGCACTGGGACATTGTGCCATTCACAGTCAGGTCACAGATTTTAGTAAGTCGAGACTGATAGCAAACAAACATCATCACGACCTGACAGCTGTTCAGTGGCTGGGCGGCCGCGAGGTTGGTGGTCTCCAGTCACGGCATTCCCTCAATCTGCCATTTCCACCCCAATGGGCACCCTTGTCTGCAATCCCAGCGTGACTGAGCTCCATGATTCATCTCAGGGCTGGTGTGGGGAAGATTACCGCTGCCTGAAACCAGCATTGAATGCTCTGTCACTCCCTAGCGCAACATCCCAGGCCAGGCCCTGTGCACAAGGGCTGGCCACAGACCCAGTTCTTTACTGTTTTTTGTGCTATCTCTGTTGATTCCTGTTATAGTCTGTTTGTGCCGCTCCCCACATGCTCAAAGGCGCACTCTTTGAACGCAGCTGTTACGATTCTATTTTATCTGTATTTGAAGCTGGTATCAGCTCCGTACCTTAATACTCACCTTGTCACTTCTGTGTGTCACGGGGGCAGCTCCTCCCAGAGAGGGCTCAGCACTGCCCAAGGCTGTGGGGAGGGACTGACGCTCAATGTGTGTCTTGTTTGCAGGGGTCGCCTGAATAGAGAACCCAGCACGCTTCTGTTCCCGCAGATCAGCGCGCTGAAGGGCAGCAGTAAGTACAAGTGCCTCAGATGGCCTAGGCTAGGGGGAATCCTGCCTTCGACGGTGCTGCGGACCAGAGATGAGCTCAAACTACTTAGCTCAGCTGAGCTTGGGGTGCTCAGATCCGGCATTTTGCCCCATAGCCATATTTAGTAGGGATGAGAATCTCAGCAGGAATGACAATACTCTCTTCAGCACAAGCTTTCCGGGGAGTTTTCACAGTGAAATGCTTTATCCTAGGGCCAGCAACTACTCCTTTTTATTTATTAACAAATGGCTGCTGCTGGAAAGCGGGGCCCTCCCTTCCCTCAGCCAGGCCAGCAAAAGCCCCCATCCTGTCGTCACCCGATGCTCCCCTGCTGCCAACCTTGTATCCCCTGCCCTCCTCCTGTTGGGATACCAAGGAGGCAGGTGTGCACTGTGCCGGGTGGCTATGGTATGTCGGTGGCTACAATAGTCAGGCCGCAGGAGGCCGGCTCCCTCCCTTCCGAGTATTGTCATCCCTGCTGAGATTCTGGTCCCTACTCAATATGGCTACGGGGCAAAATGCCGGATTTGAGCACCCCAAGTTCATCTCCAGTTCCTACTGGTCTCCAGGAACAGGCGTGCCAAGGGGGCTTTCACTGGGGTTTGGGGAGCAGCACTTGGCAGCACACAGTTGCAGGGGAGGGAGAAAGGTTAGCAGTAGCACAAACAGCCAGGCTCCCCATTTGCACGCCCATCTGTCCGAGGCCAAGTCCCAGGAGGAAGCATTGCTAGATTCCTAAAGCCCCAGTCAGATTAGCCAGCCCATGTGTGGGGAGGAAACTTCTCCCAACATTCCAGACCTGCCCAATGCAACCACAGTCGCACCCTAAAACGCTCTGCGGCTGGCTCTAACATGGAGGCCCGTGGTCCCCACCACAGAAGAGTCCCTGATGTTTGAGCACAGGGAGGAGAGACCCCCATGGTTTGGGTCTAGGATCCAGCACCCTGCAGCACCAGCCGTGCCAGGAGCCCGCCCCACTGTGCCAGGGCAGGGGGGTGCCCAGAGCACAAGCTCTGTGAGGCAAGGCCAACCTACGCCTGTCACTCACCCTCCTACTGCACATCTACTGGAACAGCTGCTCCTGCTGTCCTCCACGATCCACCCAGCTCTCCTCACAGGGGACCCCCCTCTATTCTCACCAAACCATACCCCCGCTTTCCATGACAGGCCTCTCCTCGTCTCTCACCCTTCCACTCTCTCCCCAAAAAGCTATCTGCTCCCACTCTCCTCCCCACCCCACTGGGACAGGCTCTAGTTCTGGGTATTTTCCAACCAGTTGGATCAGACTTCTCCAAGCCAGTGCCGAGACTGGCCTCCTCCTCCTCCACCCACAGGAGCACCAGGCTCTTGCTAGCACTGTGCCCCAGTGCCTTGTGCTGCTGCTGAGTCCAGCTGAGAGGCAGCTGGCAGAGGGGCTTGGGGCTCCTGTGTAGCCATGAGTGGCTCTATAGTGTTTAGAAGGCATAGCATTGCTGTGCTAGAGCCACCTCCCACATGCCAGGGCACTGGCTTGGGCTGAACCAACCCAGGGATCTGATTGCTCAAACCTGGGATGGTACTGAACAAATGAGGGCTGCTGGCAGCTGTGCTTCCCCTGAAAGCCCAGCCAGCTCTGGAACAGCCCTGGAGCATGTAACTTACAGACAGGGCATGGACGACGCAGCCGGCCCTTTACCCCAATGAGCTTGGCTCCTTCACCACGTTGTGCTGTTTTCCTAGGCTACAGAGAGGCAATGGATAGCCGGCCACCGCTGGTCATCAATGTGGATAGCCCTGGACCAGCTGCCTACTCACCCCCCACCATGAGCTGCAGGGAGAGCAGTGCTCCAGCCTACAGTTTTGGGAAGAAGACACCCCCTAGAGGTACTCAGTGGGATGACCTGCTTTCACTCACTGACCAGATGTCTCCCCTAGCTCCCTGGGGAGCTGTCTTTGTTCTGTGTCTGGACAGCACCTAGCACCATGGTGTCCTGGCCCAGGATGCTACGTCCTACCCCACTCCAAACAATACTGGTATGTTTAACTTTTTGCCCTGGGACAGGGAGTAGTGAACTGCACAGCTGTGGCTCTGCAGGCATCTGTCTTGGTGGATTTGTTATTTCAGTCAGCTCTCCCCAAGTCCTATCAAGCGCTTGTATAGGTGGAGCAAAGGGCTCCTGGATGAAGGGAGCAGCTCCCCAAACGTACCCTTTGCTGGTTGTTTTCTCCAGAGGGTGGAGGCCGCAGATCCTGGCAGAAGTCCTGGTTCCAGAGCAAAAGCCCCTTTACCAGGAAGGCAGATTTTAACACTGAGCACAATGTAGGTGATGCTTGTTTTTCTCTTTGGTTGAATCTTTACAAATTCCTCTCCCCCAACAGAGCTCAGACTGGAAAAAACAGGAGGTGGTGTTCTCCCAGGCTCTCCTCTGCCAGCCCCACCCATCTGAGACAGAATGAGCAGCCATGGCATAGACTGTGTTTCTCACTCCTCTGGGTGCAAAGAGCCTTCATGGTGGGGAAAAAAGATTATTGCATGGCCCCGGACCTTGTGCAGCCATTCACAGCAGCGCAGAGCCAGTGCAAAAGGCTTGCCACTGGGAGCTGGTAGCATTTTACATCCACTCTGCATGAGTTTTACACGGGTGTACATGACTGTCCAAGGCACAGGGCAGGGACGGAAGAGGCTCAGACTCTAGTTGAGCTTGTGGCCAGCAGGATGACACAGGCAGTCAGTCACAGTCACATGAGGAGGATACCTCAGGCAGTAGGGGAAGCAGATGGCAAAGATAGACAGTGTAGTCACAGGTTTCAGAGTAGCAGCCGTGTTAGTCTGTATCCGCAAAAAGAACCAGGAGTACTTGTGGCACCTTAGAGGCTAACAAATTTATTTGAGCCTAAGCGTTTGAGTGTAGTCCCAGCATTTAAAGAGCTCGACATCACCCAGTAGAACTGGAGCAGCCTGGAGCCTCAGTAGCTGAGGCTTTGGAGTCTGCAGGCTGCTCCTCTTCACTAACGATCACCCTGAGCATCGCTTTAGCCACCCATGACCTCACCCTTTCTGTTAACTGAGGGGTCCCCGAGTGTTCTAGACCCTCTTTCCCCATAGACCCATGGTGCACGAGTCTCCTTGATGCTCCTGCAGTGGGATCTGCCCTGCACAGTAATGTCTGTTGCTTTGCTTAGCTCTGTGCTTTGATAAGAATAACTCTGTTCTGGTAGTGGCCGTCTCCATTCCACTACACTCAGCCCTCGACCCTGGGCCCCCGGCAGGCCAGCAGACCAGGGTACCCGAGCTACAGCATTGGGAGAAAGGGGAAATTCAGCCTGGTCAGCAAAGGTGAGTGCTCTGATCAGGGCCATAACCGGGTGGGGTGAGCAGGGCAGCAGCCCAGGGCACAAAGCCATGGGGGTGGAAAAAAATGACAAAAAAACGCCGTAGGGGGCGCAAATATGCTCACTCACCCCAGATGCTAAAATGCCTAGTTACAGCTCTGCTATTAAGACCGACTCCTCCGAAGTTCCTGTGCCCAGTAAGGTGGGCTCCTCTTAACTCTCTGACCATCTTCCCCAGCACACCTCTCTGAGTTGCTGGCTTACACTTCACTGCTATGGATGGGTCCCTCTCTTCTGCCTAGCTGATCTCAGTGCAGCTCTCAGCATTAGCAGTACTCTGTTGTTCAAGGCCTCATTTAAGAAGTCTGCTTCCCAACACTGTCCTCTAATAGTTTATATTCTACTGTAACTCTCTAGCTGTCCCCCATGCAGACACTGAAGAGCTGGCATTTTACCTCTTAAAAGGACATGGCTAAAGTGTTTTTTTTCCCATTCTTTTTCTTCACTGTTACTCAGCCTCATAAAATTTTGCCCACTCAAGGAGGGATGTGACTTGACAAGGCAGGTAAAATACACATCAAACCAAAAACCTGTTAGCTCAAACACAGCACGTTGTTGCTGTAGAGCCACATGTGAACACAGGGTTGCACACTGTAGTTGGTTGTTGAAAAGTCACAACACCTGTATATTATGGGAGCTACGGTCCTAGGGCCTGATTCTATGCTGTTAGCAAGACAATAGGGCAGACCCCCAACACCACTATCTCTTCAAAGTGTCTCCAGATTTTGTTTGTTTTAGGCCTGAGTTTGGTGTCATACTTTCCCATTTATTTTTCCAGATGCTCAAATTAATCCAGCACCAAATAAATATGACACAACACCAGCGTATTTCCAGGTGTTGCAGACCTCACCATCTTACTCTATAAGAAACCGGCCACAGGGGACTCATCAATGGGACAGTTCAGGTAAAGAAACATCAAAACCCTCTGCAATTAAATCTATTGCTCTCTGGCTGCATACACACTTAGAATCATAGAATATCAGGGTTGGAAGGGACCTCAGGAGATCATCTAGTCCAACCCCCTGCTCAAAGCAGGACCAATCCCCAGACAGATTTTTACCCCAGTTCCCTAAATGGCCCCCTCAAGGATTGAATTCACAACCCTGAGTTTAGCAGGCCAATGCGCAAACCACTGAGCTATCCCCCCCTCCCCTATTCTTCTTACCATGTTCCCATTTCTCTTCCTCTGAGATTTTTCAGGGGAAGGGATGGAGCAGACAGATGCCATTGTTGAAAACATGGGAGTAGGTCGTGTCAAGCTGGACACTAATAATTTCCACACTCATTGGTAACAGTGAAATGGCACCGACAGAAAAAAACGGATAGAGCAGAAGTTACAACCTTTATGAAGATAAAACAGATAGCAGCAGGCAACCTGGGGGCCACATATTTTGTCAAAGCTCAGTATGAACTAGGAAACATTCAGTTCTATTCTACATGGGAAAGTACCCACAGCAAAACAAGCAGCTTTGACTTAGTCCAGTGGTTCTCACTATGGGTCATGACCCAATTTGTCTGCACTGTCTTTTTGACAGTTTTGTGCTGGTTTAAAAAAAAAAAAAAATCATTCCCCCCCACTCATTACTATAGTAGCTGAAGTGTAGAGCTGGCCTTGGTTGGCATTTGGACCAGAGAATTTTCAGATTTACAAGATTGTCAAGAGTTTAGCTCCCATTTAGGTACCTCAAGAAGTAGCAAGGTTTTTAGGATTGCTCAGCATCCCCTTGAAAATCTGACCTCAGAACACAGGAATTTCTCTCCCGAAAAAGGGGAGCTGAGATAGAAAGATGGAAATAGGGACTGCTCTGTTCTAATCCCAGCTGACACCACCTCAGCAGCCAGGTTGGATAAGTCACTTGAGCTCTCTGGCTCAGTTTCCCCTTGTAAACTGGAGAGGTGAGCTAGGGTGGGAGGTAGCACATGTGCTAGGTAACAGCTGCAAAGCATTTTGAACATGAAAGGCTGGACAGTTGACTATTGTTCATATTTAGGAGATGCATAGCACTGCACACACACTATTGTAAATACTTCCAGAGACACATCCCTGACCTTCACACCATGAAGAGAGTAGGCTGTTCTAGCTCAGGAGTTACCCAGCAAAGGCTGCATTGTGTTTTCAGTTACAAGTTGTAGCCTGGTTCAGACAGTTAGACTATATAATTGCCCAGATAGGAGTGGATGTTACACTGAGACGAGGAAGCCAGGACAAAAACCATGTACAGAATGTGGTTCTTACATATGGACTAAATATTTTAGGAGTAAATCCTGTGGTGAAACTGCCATTGTAAGTGGGAATGGCGCAAAGTTACTGGTGCACTGGGCACAAATCACCGAAAACATGCACTGGTATTCCTGCCTAGGGTGATCAGATAGCCTGATTTTATAGGGACAGTCCTGGTTTTTGGGTCTTTTTCTTATATAGGTTCCTATAACTCCCCCTCCCCGTGTCCTGATTTTTCATATTTGCTGTCTGGTCACCCTATTCCTGCCATTCATGTATTTGGCTATTGTTATGTGCAGTTACCCAGCCTAGCTCTAAAATTACTATTTTAAGCTCTCTGGAAATCTAGCTCTTCAAGCATTCAGTTTAAGTTAGTACTTTTCCATTGAAGGGGTGGTTCACTTATTCTAGCATGTAGGCTCCTGCACCAGGGTATCTTCATAACTGGAACATTTAAATTAAAACAAGTAGGCTGCAGCATCTGAATTTCATTGGGTCTCTATACATCTAAACAACCCTGACAGACACATCAAGTGGGGCAGAAGCAGCTATGGAGTTGGTTGTTACAGCTGTAGGTGAAATCCTCAAGCTCATAAGATGCATTTCACATGCTAGAAATTAATTCATGGACAAAGCACTAAGATCCTGTTTTCATGTTGTTAGGAAAGCCACTGGTGAAATGCTGAGCAGAGACTCTTAGAGGGAGCCTTTTAGTACTAAGAGAAGGGCAGATAGTCGACAAGTTTAAAATGTACCAGCTGCTGGATTCTCTTCCTTTCAGGGAACACGCCAGGACCAGGATTGTATGATGTTGAGAAGGGGCACATAGCTCGTTTGCCCAGCTCTCCAAGTGTCATCATCCAGGGCATCAGAAGACCTAAGAGACATGAAACCGGGCCCTTCACAACTCTCTGAACAGGAGCTGCAAAGACCAAACTTTGCTCAATTTCCATCTGCTTGACAGCAGCCAATGTAGTGTGTTCATCAAAAGAGGCTCACAAAGTTAACACAGCCTAAGATTCATTATGCCGTATACTCTATTACTAAGTCACCTCCCTACACTGTGATTCTGATCTGAAACAACCTGTTAATTCAGAGGCAGAAGTACAAGCCCAGTACACCTACAAAGCTTGGAGCTGTACTGTAATAATGGGTAGCTTTCGCTGTTAGAAATTGAGGATGCTGCCATTCACCATACGTTTACTAGTAATAAACCCTTGAAAATTGAAGATTTAGACTAGGTGCCTATTACACACCAAGACTAAGGGTGCCTGCCTTCACTACCACTCAGGTTGAGGAGTTTGGAAGCACTCACTTTTCACCTGTTATTAAAACTGATTTGTCTAAGTATATTTAACATGGCTGGGTGTTCAGGAGTAACTTTCCATTTAAGATGGTAGCATTATATAATGTCAGGATCATACTGTATCCTGTTTCATCACTACCATGCATGAAAGCTTCATAATTTAAATGAGTTAGTGCTTAAGCTAGCCACCTGAACAATCTGCCTGCAGGCTGTACTGCATTTTAAACCATGACTGCAGATCTCCATAGCCTACACATGCAAAGATATCAGTATTATTTATGCTCTTCTAGCTGCTAGGTACACATAGCACTTGAGCATAAGTTAAGATTTGCACAGATTTACTATTCTGAATAAACCACCTGCTGGCATCATAGCAAATATGACTAAGTAACTTCTGACAAGCAGTACATATATTTATGATGGCAAGTTTTAAGAAGGATTGGAGTTAAGCAAAGCCAGTTCGAGTACAGTGGCACTTTATGTTCTACACCATGAGGTATAGTCTCCATTAGAATTAGAGACAATCTCCACTTTTAAACCTTTGTAACATTTCTGTAGCATGTTTTCTCCATTCCAAAATGCAGGGGGTGTCTCAAGTACAACCCGTTAGCGTAGCTAGTAAATTAGTTCACTGTGTGACCAGAAAAAATCCTGTAATCTTGATGTGGCATGTGGCAGAATACAAACTGTCTAAACACCAACCATGTGTTTAGATTCCAGCATTTTGCACCTTCAGATGAGAACCTAAATCCTGTATTTAAACTACCAGACCATTCTCAGACAACTGCAGGTTTTATTGAGGTTTCATAATTGTTACAAAAAAATCTTAATTAACTTTCATGTGTGAGTTCTTGGCTTCTGTCTTAGTTCTGTTGAAAAAAAGAAAAAAAAATAAGCCTCCCATTAGTAAAGAGATATTTGTTCATAGTCAATGCTAGTCAATTTCAACTGAAGTTTGAGACTCACAGCTGGGCACTCTATTGTGCCACTGTTGATGTCATCGATGACATCATGAGGATGTCTGCCATCAATATTGCAGCCAACAGACTGAGCAGTTCCTAGAATCTCCTTAATGGTTCCTGTAACAGAGAGACTGCATCTTAGCCCCACCCCACAACACAGTGGTGTGACATAGACCAAGCCTGACTTACTTTCAGAGTTCAGCTTTTTCCAGAAGAAGAAGGGAGAAAAAAAAAAAAAAAGAGCATGTCCCTGCTAGGTATGTTGGTAGCAGCAGTCAGTGACTTACGACAGCATGTTAACTCCAGTGCACATCTCCCTCCTGGTGGAAGTCTGTTAAATGCTGAAGTGTTTGATGAATGGGTGCAAGGAGGCTTGGCATGTGTTATATGGGATGCTCCCGGGATCCAGTGACCCCTAAAAAAATTTCAAATAGAGGTGCAGACCCCTTTGGAAAACTTAGGCATAGTCTGGGGATCACTAGGGATTGATGGATCACAAGTTGAAAGCCACTGCCCTATGCCATTTTTCTACCTATACAAGCCATAACCTCCATTCCCAGAGGTCTGCAAGGTGCATTAGCAGGCTTCACAGCTGAGGGCATAATGAGCATGTCCTGGAACGTGGGTCTCCTGCATGAGTGCAGAGCATTGACATACCCAGGAGACAACCTAGAAAGGTCACTGATGTTTCAGGACAGACAGGAAGGTACATGGAACCTTCCAGAAGGACATTCACAAGTTCCCTTAGTATCCCCCTTCATAGCTGACTCGGCTGAATGTAAGACAGGCCTGTTACTAAATGGGTCTGACCAACTTCTAAGACTAAGGTATCTTGAGAAACTGAATCAGATATGCAAGCTACTCAAGAGGATTTATATTGTAGTTTAGGAAGCTAGCTAATGCCCAGGTACCTGTCAGCAGAGGACCAGTTAGTCCCCTTTGGGAACAGACTGCACTGTGACAGGGTCAGAAGTATGGGGGGAAAAACATGTTCTGCCTCTGCCAGCTTGACTGTCCAATGCTCTGAAACTACCACTTCACACCAGGAAGTATCGTAAGTGAAAACCTACAGCAGAGGCTGAAGTTGCTGGCATGGAGCCCAGAGCTGCACTGTAGGCCAGCTAGTGGGTAGACAAGCAGGATGAGGACTTCTGCAGCCCGTCTGAGTTCAGAAGGCGGAGCTGGTTCAGGCACTCAGGACCAGCCTATGGCAGCCACCACATTAGTAACCCGCTAGCAGCATACTGCTCTTACCAGAGAGCTCCCGGGCCAAGGACCTGTGCCTCATCTGGCGTGCGATGTTTACTATCTCATCAAAGCTGACACTGCCACTGTGTTTAACTGTGAACAAAATCAAACCACCTGTGAGTCCCCTGAAAAGTATTAACCAAATCAGTTCAACTTCTCAGCCCTGGGAGTGGAGAGGGTAGGGGGATAATACACCAGCACACTCATTCCTTATGAGGTCTTGGTTTTATCGTCTGGTGTTCCCAGACTTTGGCACAGAGTTACTCACAGAGAGAATAACCCTGTTTCCTAAGCTGGTGTTTTCTATCAGCTCACCACTGGATTGTACCAGCCACTTCATACTAGACAGGTACAGTGGCAGGTGGCTGTTTTACTGAAGTTTTAGACAAGTCAATCTCCAGCTAGTCCAGAGGTTCTCAAACTGGGCATTGTGACACCTCAAGGGGTCACGAGCTGTCAGCTCCAAACCCTGCTTTGCCTCCAGCGTTTATAATAGCATTAAATATAAAAATGTGTTTTTAATTTGTAAGGGGGGGGGGGGAGGGATTGCACCCAAGAGGCTTGCTGTGTGAAAGGGGTCACCAATACAAAAGTTTGAGAACCACTGAGCTGGTCATACAAGTACAATGATCCACAGGCAGATCATTTCAATTCCCTGCATCCTAGGGAGTAATTTTCCCTTCAGATAGATTTGGATTGTACTTCTGTGCTTTGCAGGTTGGAATCTCGAAGTGCTTCACAACATTAATGAAGCCCCACAATCCCCTACAAGGTTGGCAAATATTCCCATTTTGCAGAGGAGTAAACTGGAGGCAGGCAAGTTAAGTGACAGCCAGCCAGATCTGGGCTGGCTGGATGCACCACTTAGCACTAGTAACCAATGGAAGTTAGCAAAACGGGAATCTTAGGGGGCAGGGATAGCTCAGTGGTTTGAGCATTGGCCTGCTAAACCCAGGCTTGTGAGCTCAATCCTTGAGGGGGCCACAGGGGATCTGGGGCAAAATCAGTACTTGGTCCTGCTAGTGAAGGCAAGGGGCTGGACTCAATGACCTTTCAGGGTCCCTTCCAGTTCTATGAAATAGGTATATCTCTATATATTATATTATTATTATAAATTAATCTTACTGTTCTTCTGCTTCTTCCTGTCACGAGGAGGCTCCTTGAGGGCTTTGATGATTAGGGCAGAGGCAGAAGGGACAACCTCAATCTAAATGGAGGAGAGGCACATGTTTTCTTTAGGCGATACTGAGGTCAGAAAGCAAATGCAGAATCCTTGACAGAAGAACTAGTCAGTCTCAGGACAGAGCTAACTAAACATCCTCCGACTCACACAGAATTGTAATTAACCTAAATGCATTGTATTTACTAGAAAATGCCTGTTGCGTCTTTCCATAGAGAAGAATAGTGTGACTCAATGTTCCCAGCCTTTCGGCACAGAGCTCTCCACAAACAGAATAGCCCTGCTTCCTAAGCTGGGGATTCCTCTCAGCTCACCACTGGAGTACACCAGTCACTTCAGTACAAGACAGGTATGGTGGCGGGTGGCTACAAGTATACTGAAGAGCAGTTGGAATATTTCAGTTTGGCACAGTGTTCCCCTGGTCTAAAAACTTGCTCTCTACCTTCCACCTCCAGTATTTATCAGTCAAAGGTTACACCTGATGTACTCTCTCAATGGTCTTGGAACCACGACGACAACACTAATATGATACCAACCCTGGCAGACCGATGAACCCACTTGTTTCTCTCCGCTCTGTTGTCATTAAACTTGATGGTCAGTTTGATGCCTGCTCTTGACTCAGACACACACCACTATTTCTGAGCACAGTGAAACACACAGCGCCGTTGGTCTAGACAGCCCTGAATTACACACTGAAATGCAGCTGCCTCTGGATGGTGGACCAGAGGCAGTTCTGGCCTTGGATACTCCCCAGCTCTTCAGAGCCTACAGAGATTAGGAAGGACTCTGTTTTTAAGGTCTTGTCCAGGAGACCCCCACACAGTAAACTGCATGGAACTCATTTTATCTACCTCGAAAGGATGAAGGGCTGAGTCGACCCTGCCGGGATTGACATTTGTGGTTCCAGCTAATCCAGGTGTTTCAAGCCTGGCGCTTCTACCACTAAGCCATCCCTTCTGGCGTTTAGTACCTGAGCTTGCCTGTTCTGGATAGTGAGTTTCACTGTGATCCTCAGCCCCTTCCAGTCACCTGTTGCCTTGGCGATGTCATCACCAACCTTTTTGGGAGACTGAAGACAAGAACAAGCATTTAATTGACTTTTTCTCTTCAGAGTGACATTTTCCAACACACTCATTTATTTGAACTCCTGTATTATGTTGTACACTTCATGCCCTGTACCTGGAGTTATTTTTATTGTTGTATTTGAAAGATTCCCCTCTTGCCAAACAAACAGCTACATTCACTGATGTGAGCAAATACAAACCCTCCTGTGTATCTCTGCAATCTCATGTAGAGAAAAATGCCTCAGCAGAGCAAGCCACAAACCCAGAAGTGGCAGCAGGGACTGCTGGACACACATTAGACAGCTTTCTGCAGCTTTTCCTCTGCCCTGACTGGCCATTTGCACCAATCCACTCCCACCCTCAGTCATTCCTCATCACACTTCTCACTCCCTTCAATGGCCTTTTTATTTTGCTAATCTTCCTCCCCTCCCCCCTCAAAAAACCCAGCTCAATACCACAGCCCCCTCACACACAGGGAGGTACACTAACATGTTCACACACCAAACCCAAAGAGATACAATAGCCCAGTTATACAAAAACAATGCTAAATTCAATTTCTTGCAAGTTTGCTCTCAGCCCAGTCACAAGTATCAAACTCACATCTATGACAAACCCTACAGCATTTTAGAAGAGCCAACTCTTTTTATGTAGAGCAATTTTCATGCACTGAGAGTAACTGAACACTTTACAGAGACTGCTAAGGCAGTAAACAGAGATCCTAGCTAAAAGGGAAGTGGGTACACTGGATTCCTGTAGTTAAAGAGGCAAATGACTCAGTCTAGCTCAGGACTCATACATAGTTAGATTTCAGCTCATAGCTATTCTACAGTGGGGTTTTAAGAGATTCGCGTTGGGACAAAAATAAGTAATTTAACCCTAATTATACCCTTTTAATAGATTAGCCATCCAGGTATCAGTTACAGCAGCATCTGTTAAGTACATTTTATTACCGTGAGCTACATATAGTAACAGCTTTCCCAGCACTACTTACCAAACCCAAAGGGCCGATTTTAGGTGCCAGCGCAGAAGTGGCACCGACCTCCCCGCCGGTGCATCTCAGGAACACTAAGGTAAAAGCAATACAGAGCGGTCAGGGAGCTCACACAGCCCGCGGTCGCTTGTAAGGCTTTGCTATAGCCACCTGTACCCAATGACAAACCCAAAGAGGGTCCGGCTGTACGCAGCACGTGCAGCCTGAGCTGCCCACGGAGAACAGCAGCCACGTGGCACCCAGGGCCGTAGCCCAGGCCCCAGCCAGACGGCAGCTGCGCAGGGGACACCCACCGGCTGGCCGTGTCTCATCAAGCGGGATGAGATCGGCTGTAACGCTGCACAGCCCCCGGCTGACCGGGCCACGCTGCCAGGCCTCGGTTAGTGGCGCGCTCGGTACCTAGGCCGGGCACCGGCAAAGCAGAGCGCGCCAGGCCGCCCCACGTCAGACAGCAGCGGAAACCACCTCAGGGAGCGCCGCGCTCCGCTCCCCGCCCCGGCACAGCGGCTCCCCGGCGTGTCGCGGCCCTAGGCCCGACATCTCCCGGGCCGCCCCCCCCCCAACGTACCGACTTTGATCTCGTTGGGGTCGAACTTGGGCGGCATGGCGGCGGCGGGCCCGAGCCGGATCCGGGGCGCGAGACACAGGCAGCTTCCCTCACCTCCCGGCCTAGGATAGCGCGCATAAGAGACCGGAACCGCCTCCGATGGCGCAACATATACTAGCCGAGATCTCGCGAGACACATGCAAGCCACACCCTGGCCACCATGTTAGCTGTGGGCAACAGCCCCCAGGAGGGCGGGGGAGCTCGCCCGCCATGTTGTGTGTGGACAAGGCCCCCCAGAGGCGAGCTAGCCGCCATGTTAAGTGTGGGCACAGAGCTCCGCGGAGGGAGAGGCCCAGCCGCCATGTTATCTGTGGGCAAGGCCCCCAAGGAGGGAAGGCCAAGCGGGGGCCTAGGTCTCTCCCCTTCCCTTACAGCAGGACCTGGCTCCTAGCGAGGAATGGGTGGGTCGCACGATAACAAATCCCCTGTCTAGCTGCAGGTCCCTATGACTTCGGATCGCGGGGCGGCTCGCTGTGTAAGCACAGCCCTCACCAGTCCCAAGCCTGGCGAATGGGACGCTCTGCCTCTCTTGTGGCTCATCTCTGTGGCGGGTAGGTCAGGTCATGTGACCCCGCAGCCGAGGGGGCGGGGCACCCGGAAGTCCCTATTATGACAGCGGAAAGTGGTGAGTAAGGGAGCGAGCTCGGGCATGAGATGAGTCCGCGCCTGGGGGCGGGGAGGGGCTGTCTGTGGGGCTCCCCGCCGCCTCTGGCTGTAGCTGTCTGGGGCTCCCGGCGTTGCCCCGGGCTCGCTGACGCTGGGCTGGGCTGGGCTGGCTGTACCACCGCGCAGGTTGCCAAGGTCCCGTGGGGCTCCCCCCGCCAGAGGTTTCTGTGACAAGCTGAGTGGGGGGGAGGGCTCCCCCTCCCGGCCCCGCTGTTCGGCCTGAGCTGGGAGGGGAGCGGCTGGTTCCCTTGGCGTTGCCCCCTCCTGCAAACTGCCCGTCAGCCTCCCGTCCTCTCCGTCCTGGCGAAGGCCCTTTCCTGCCTCTGATGGGTTCCGCACCCAGGGGAGATTCTGGCTGCACAGCTGAGTGGCTGGCTCGGGGCTTGTCAGTATCTTCAGAGACAGGCTGGCACGGTCACCCTTTGCACGTCGCAGGTGATATAAGGTGCATGATAAAAGAAGTGTATCACAAGGCCGTGCAACTTAGCATGCTCACAGGTGTGATGTGCAAATATACCCAGAAAACTGTTACAAGAACATTATTAAAGGTTTGACGTTCAGGCATGACTCAAAGTTAGGAGATGCCAGTATTCAGACTGGAAATAAGGTGTAAATGTTTAACAGTGAGGGTAATTAACCACCGGAGCAACTTACTAAGGATTGTGGTTGATTCTCCATCGCCGACCATTTTTAAATCAAGACTGGCTATTTTTCTAAAAGATCTGCTCTAGGAATTATTTTGGGGCAGGTCTGTGTTGTATAGAAAGTCAGACTAGTTAATCACAATGGTCCCTGCTGGCCTTGGAATGTATGAAAGAGTGCTTGTGCAACCTTAAATCAACCTCCTTGTGTGTATGCATGATACAGTCTGTAATTACATGGTCATATGGTATTTGACATATTGACACCCACATGTGTCATCAGTGTGGTTAGAACCTTTAGATCCACCACATAGACCTCGGCCACTTGAACCAATGGAGTAACTGATAGCAGGTTGTGCACTGGAGGGGAATAAGAACATAAGAATGGTCATACTGGGTGAGACCAATGGTCCATCTAGCCCAGTATCCTGTCTTCCAGCAATGGCCTAGTGCCAGGTGCTTCAGAAGGAATGAACAGATTGGGCAATCGAGTGATCCATCCCCTGTTGTCCACTCCCAACTTCTGGCAGAGGGTAGGAACACTCAGAGCATGGGGTTGCATCCCTGACCATCCTGGGTAATAGCCATTGATGGATCTATCCTCCATGAACTTATCTAATTATTTTTTGAATCCTGTTGTGGTTTTGGCCTTCACAACATCCCCTGGAAACAAGTTCCACAGGTTGACTGTGTTGTGTGAAAAAGTACTTCCTTTTGTTTGTTTTAAACCTGCTGCCTATTAATTTCATTGGATGAGCCCTGGTTCTTATGTTATGTGAAGGAGTAAATAACATTTTCTTATTCACTTTTCCCACACCAGTCAAGATTTTATAGACCTTTCCACATGTTTGTTGACCCCCTCAAAGAATCTAATAGATTGGTGAGGCATGATTTCCCTTTATAAAAGCCACAGTAACTGTTCTCCAACAAATTGTATTCATCTATGTGTCTGATCATTCTGTTCTTTACTATAGTTTCAACCAGTTTGCCTGGTACTGAAGCTAGGCTTACCAGCCTGTAATTGCCAGGATTGCCTCTGGAGCCTTTTTTTAAAAATTGGCGTCACGTTAGCTATCTTCCAGTCATCTGGTACAGAAGCAGATTTAAATGATAGGTTACCACAGTTAGTGGTCTTCATGTGAGCTGAGTGTTCCACCCATCCAACTGGCTCCCAGCCTTTCCACCCTCTGTTTTCTTCATTGGCTCTCAGTTCCATTTTCCTCTCCATCCTCTGGCTCTCAGTCCCAGTCTCCTTGTGCATCCAATTCCAGCCTATCCTCCCCACACCAGCTCCACGCCTTCTTGCCCAACCAGCCTCCCTGCCAAACTAGTCCTAGCCTCCCCTTCCTTCCTGACTCTCAGTCTAGCTCCTTGCCCAGCCAGTTCTAGTCTCTCCTTAACTTCCTGTCACAATCTGTTCCCCACCCAGTCCCAGTCTCACCAGACTCCTTGCCCCAGTTGACTCCTTTCCCACCCCCATGGTCCAGCTTTTGTCCCTTCTGTATTTGGATCCGGCAGCTTCCTCCTCCACACAGCCTGGGTGCCAGCGAGGTGGTGGTGTCTCTGAGAACATTATGAGGACATTGAGAGCTCCGTGCTCTCAGTTCCAGTGACCTGTTCCGCCCCAATCTGGAGCAGTAATTACAGGTAAAGTCCAGTTTTTCCACTGTAGCCCTGGATTGGCGCATGCTCAGTCACTTTGTGGGGATGGCCCAAGTGCAATCTGGTCACAGGTAGAAGTTGCGAGAGGATGGCACATGCTTAACCTATGTGAATTGTGATTTTTTTCAAAAGGCTTATAACTCAGCCATGTTTGGGTGGATTTTCACACGGAAGACAAAAAGCCTTTGGGTCAGCAATGTGCCATCTCCTTGCTGAATGTCACCAGCTCCAAAGCATGAGGGCACTAGAGCATGTCAAAAGATCGCCAGATTTTTTTTTTAAACATTGCAAAAGGACTTATTTTTCCCTAGCGTTGTTCTCGGAAATGGCTGAACCATTTTGGCTGAAATTTTTGAAAATAATTCAGTCTGTGACAAACACCTGGCATGGACAACTTTACCTTAAATGGTTGAAATCTGGCAACGTTATAAACAATTGAAAATAGAGTGTTATAATGGGATGTGTCAGGCAACCTTAATAGGCCAGTACTACCAATAATATAGTGATGAGATTGCTTTCATGTACACAGCACCTATGGAAAAATGATAGTCATGTAATACTTTCTGTTTATCATGCACCCAGGTCATGTGCTGTGTGCCAGCTAACCCACATCTGCTGGATGACTTCCTGAATTTCTGAGCAGTTTCCAAGCAGCTGCCATTTAAAGGACCCAATTTGCCAGACAACCGGTTGAAATTTCTCCTTCTAAACTGCCCTTCACAGCAATCTTCAGTCTTGGAGCAGTGGCATAGTTAAGGGCCCATGTCTCACAACTGATTGGGGATAGAACCAGGTCTTCACTTTCCGCTGGGATGCCCAGCACCCAGTTCTAGCCCTGGAAGGACCTGAGATATCAGACCTTCCACTTCCCTCATTGTTATGTCAGAAAACTATTTTAATGTTTAGAGGTCTTTACAATGTATTATTTACAACTGTCCTCACCCACTGCAGCCCTGTGTGTTTGGGCGCATATAATCTACGGCAGCCTACCTTTGTAGGTGAAAGGCCCTGAACATTGTATCAGTTTAGAAACCTAAAATCTTGCAAACACTTTTACAGTGTTTGACATATATAAAATATATGTGGGGATACGGTAGGCATTAAGAAACCCTGCCTTCCCTGACTCACTTGTGCCTTCACTGCTTGTGAGTTATGCAGCTACCCCAACATCAGCCAATAAAACCTTTGTAATGGACCAGTAACATTGTGTATTGTGTGTGTAAATTTCTACGTAGAGTATCATTTTATAAAGCACTAGGAGCCATTCAAACAGCCAGATCTGGATTGGCTGAATATTCCTAATTCTCTCGTTCTGCCTCTGGTGCTAGCTGCTCTTAGATTAGTTCTGACTGCTGGACTGTTCCATTTTAAGGTTATTCTGAGGGAATGAAAGCTGCCATATTTTTCATGAACTTAATGTCATTATTTTGTTGTTTATATTATAAATCTTAATAATGTCTGGTGCTGTGATGCTCCCTCTGATGGGACTGTATCTGCCATGTGCATGTATAGCAGATAGTAATACATCAGTAATACATAGTCCCAGTCACAGCTCATCTGAGAAAGAACCATTCAGTTACTCTTTGCAACCCTGTATCCCAAAGCTCTTTGAGGTTTTTGGTACATTATCTCCAAACGGTAGTAACCCTCAGTGCATGTTAGTTCATGCAGGCCTCATTTCTGAAGATAGGAATGGTCTTGGTGTACTACAGCACTCTCACCTTATTGCTATTGTTGCTACATGACTTGCGGTATTGTTTGCATAGTTGCTGGTTAATTCAGGATTGGCCAAATGTGTCCCACAGAGTCCATAATTCGGTGTAACAAGGCCACCCTAGTGTTTAATATGGCAAGACTGTCTGCAAAAACTACAGGTCGCAGCATCAATACTCAAGCTTGAGCTGAGAGGCTTGTCCTCCAGGCACTGCAGTTTGGAATTTATCGTCTCTGCAGCCCATGCCACTGCATATGACTAACTCGGTGGCAATCAACTCTGATTTTATGGGCAAAGTTTAGGTGCACTTGCGTTAACATAGGTCAGAATGAAAGTGATTATATCTTGAAAAGTCTGCCAACTGAAAATGGGCTTTAAACTACTAGATGTTTTAAGCAAAAGTATTGGGTGATTAAAATTGGAGAAGTATCCTACTTGGATTCTGTATTTCTGTCTAAAAAGCAAGTGCCTGAAAGGTATTACATTAGCACAAGGCAAAGGTGGGGTTTAAAAGCATAAAATAATCTACTGTAATGGCAGGTACTGCCTGGATGCAAAATAAGCATCCAATTGGGCACTCTAATCCTTCTGCCAACATGGAGTCTCACTGATTTATGGGGATCATCTGGCAGAGTCAGCCTAAACAAAGACAAATGCAGAGATGGTGATTTTCTCTTCTTTTTACTTAGAGTGAAATTCCTTAACACAGGCTCCCTGTCAACACCTGTTACATACACTCCCTGACTCTTCTGCCTTTGTTTACACTGATCGCTTTCTGCCACTGAGACAGATCTGGAGTGAAAAGCTAAAGATGCTGCTGTTCTTCCGTAAAAGGAAACCCAGTGATGAGGCCCGGAAGCGCCTTGAATACCAAATGTGCCTGGTAAGCTTAGGGGTGGTGCTTTTCCCTTTTCTGTATCACTCTTTTGGATAAGGATGCTAAGCTGAACTCCCAACCACTGGTAACTACAGATCCTATGCCACTTTCACTACTAGGTGCTACTGCAGTGCGAATAATAATAATGAATGAAAGTCCAGGTGTTTACCTGCACTGTGATTTGGCCAGGACAGCTGGGGTAGATCCTCAACTGATATAAGTTGTCATAGCTACATTGAAGTGAATGAAACTACAATGCTTTATACCAGCTGAGGGTCTGTCCCCTGGTTTATATTCTGCTTCCTTAAAATAAACCCCAGGTAGTTTTTTCACCACTTCTAAAAGTAGTTGTAGAGTGGTGCTGGCATAGGATGACTGCCATGTTGTACCCCAGAGGCAGCCACATTTCGGTAGCAGGAGATTGATTCCTATTTAAGCAGATAGCAAAGTGCTTCAGGATGAAAGGCCTTATGCACTGTATGAGGTGTAGCTGGTGTAACTGAGAAGAGATGAGTGGTTTTAGACTTTTTTCCCTATTCATAATTTTAATCATTTAGAGACACTAGCTAGCCAAAGGATCAAATGTTGCTTTGGATGTCTGCATCCAATGTGTGTATTTTAAACTAGTATGATGTATAAGCTCTGCCTCTCTAAGCACTTCCTACCATCTTGCTCTGCACTAAAACCTTCATTTAAAGCTGAATTTGGCCCCTGTATTTTCTGACACGTATCTGCATGACATCAGTTTCACTACCTGGGTTAATAACAGTAGTTACATCTAATTGTCTGGTGAAAACAGGAATGAATAAATATGTATTAATAATGCTACTCCCTGAAGTCATTACTTTGGAAATGATTAGACCCCCAAAATGTAATTTACCTTAGAAGCTGCAGAGGACTAGAAGAACTCTTCTTCCAACTGGTCATTGTATCTTTTAATAGCTCAGATGAGGATGCTGAGAGTTATGAAGAATTGCTCTTGTGACTTGCAGCTGCTTCTAATTCTTCCTAGTAACCCCAGCAGCCTGACCAGTGAAAGTGATGGTTTTCTTTGTGTCTGAACATTACAGTGATTCATTTGTTCAGAGTCCAATCAACTAATTGGACTGGTTTGGCAGTTGTTGTTAGCCTCTGTCGTGTTCCCCATCACAACTCCCTTTCACTTTTATGTTCATGTAAGCTGCCTTCATTTCAGTGGACTGTGTGAAATGAATTTGCGGGGAGGGCGGCTTTGGCTAGTTCCTAGTGGGACAGGTGTACATGTCACAAAATACACAAAAATGGTCGCTTATAGGCCCCCTTGTTGACAGTCTCAGCAGAGAGGCCAAGGACAGTGAACCTACCCTTTTACCCCAGATATGGTTGCACCATGTCAGGATTGGCATATTGGTGGGGCAGTAAAGGGGCAGCTTGCCCTGGGCATTGCTGGGACTTTACCTGTTCTGGAAATAAATGGGAGCTTTGGTCTCCAGGGCTATCAATCTGTTACTCCACCCACCCTAAAATTCACTCAAACTTCCACCTTCACGGATAAAGCTTAGGTGGTGTTTGGAATTGACTTTTTGCTCCTTGAAACTTGTCTGAGGGGCTCCAATTCAGCAAGGTGCATAAGCACGATAGAGCTTTTGAGTCAGTAGGACTATTCACGAGTTTAAAGTTAGTCATGTACTTAAATATCCTCCTGGATCAGGGCCTAGGTGCTTATGCACTTGAAGACCCTGATCCATCCCCCCTTGAAGTGAGTGGTGAAACTCCTACTGCTTGTAGTGGTGCAGGGTCAGGCCCAAAGTGTGTCTCTGCTCTGGAAAAGTGTCTGTAAAACTAGCACTGTGGGGCCTGGTGTTTGTTGTCCCAGGATTATTGCCATAGTGGCTGTGCTTAGTCTCCAAGTGAAAGGATTTTTTTTCTAACTGCCAGCCCTGTAGACTCAGTCTGGGCTCCAAGTCAAGCTGGACTCTTTCCATCCTATGAGCATCACTAATAATAACAAGTTTGGGAGGCCAAGTTATGCTCACTGCTGCAACCTCATTATTGCCTTCAGTGATAGCAACAGGTTTACACAAGTGCTACTAACTGGAACATAATAACCGCTTTACACAAGAAGGAATGAATCCCAGCTCCCCTTTCAGCAGCTGAGTTAGCCCTGTAGCAGGAACAGAAAGCAGCAGTAATTACTTTTGTTCCTATAGATAGCAGAATCTGATTCTCAATGCACAAAGGGAGTAAGTCTGATGACTAAGAGGTGTCATTTTTACAGTAGTCCCTTTATGTAGTAGAGCCTCCCTCTCATTCATGGCATGATCTATTTCTCTCCAGTCCTAGAGAACCAGGAATTATGTCACTAAAACACTTTCATATGCTCTCTGTTAAAATCTTCTCGCACAAGTAAGTGACGTCTCTGCTCTTGATACAGAAATTCACTTTGCTGCACAAACAATGTTTGTATTGTAGAATTTAGTTTCTTGGTTGCATGAGCAGGGCTGCGGGTATAACTATGGAATATACTTTGCATCTAATACTTGCCCTTGATTGTGGTGGCCATAACAAAGAGCTGTGATTAAATTTCTATGTCAGCAGGGTAGTTTAGCCAACATGCAGCAAGAGGCCACTTGTCTCTCTAAGCATTCTAAAGCTGCAGCACATATCTTTATCTCTTTCTCTCTCTGTAGGCAAAAGAAGCTGGTGCTGATGACATTCTTGATATATCTAAATGTGAACTGTCCGAGGTATGTGATTTGCAGAGTGAGGGGACCTGTCCAGCTCTCTCATTTCCTCCCAGTACTGAACTTCAGTCGTTATACTCTGATGAGTCTAGAGCAGTGGTCACCAACCGGTCGGTTGTGATCGACTGGTCGACCCTGGAGGATCTCCCAATTGATCATGATCTCCAGCTGCACAGCGGGGCTGCCTGCCTGTCCCGGACCCACGCCGCTTCCAGAAGCAGCCAGGGGCAGGGGTCTCCCTCCACACACTGCTCTTGCCTGTAAGCATCGCACCCACAGCTCCCATTGGCTGGGAATGGGGAGCTGTGGCCAATGGGAGCTGCGGGGGCAGTGCTTGCAGAGAGGGGCAGCGCCCGGAACCACGTGCCGCCCGCCGCCTCCCCCAGGGGCCACAGGGGCGCATTGGCGCTTTCCAGGAGTGGCATGGGGCCGAGGTAGGCAGGGAGCCTGCCTTAGTGGCAGCCACACTTCATCGCCAACTGGGAACTGCTGGAAGTAAGTGCTGCCCAGCGGGAGACCGCACCCCAACCTTCAGCCCCGAGCCCCCTCCTGCACCCCAAGCCCCAGTCCTGAGCCCCCTCCCAGAGCCAGCACCCCAAACCAGCCCTGAGCCCCCTCCCGGAGCCAGCACCCCCATACCCCCTCCTGCAACCCGAACCCCCTCCTGCACCCCAAGCCCCAGCCCTGAGCCCCCTCCCGGAGCCAGCACCCCCATGTCCCCTCCTGCAACCTGAACCCCCTCCTGCACCCCAAGCCCCAGCCCTGAGCCCCCTCCCAGAGCCAGCACCCTGTACCCCCCCTGCACCCCAACCCCCTGCCCCAGCCCTGACCCCCCTCCCAGAGCCAGCACCCCGTACCCCCTCCTGCACCCCAGCACTGTGCCCCAGCCCGGAGCCCCCTTCTCCACCCAAACTCCCTCCCAGAGCTTGAACCCCTCACCCCTTCCTGCACCCCAACCCCCTGCCCCAAGCTCAGCCCAGAGTCCCCTCCTACATTGCGAACCCCTCAGCCCCAACCCAGAGCCTTCACCCCCTCACGAACCCCAACCCCCACCCCAGCTTGGTGAAAGTGAGTGAGGGTGGGGGAGAGCGAGTGACTGGAGGGGGGGATTGGAGTGAGTGGGATGGGGCTTTGGGGAAGGGGCGGGGCCTCATGGAAGCAGCAGGGTAGATCCTGGGTTGCCCTTAAATTCAAAAAGTGATCTTGGGCATAAAAAGGTTGGAGACCACTGGTCTAGAGACAGAGATGAACCTCTTAACTTATCTGTGTCATCACTTTATCCGTGCAGAATTGTTCCCTCTTTGTTCAGTCTTGTTCATCTCTTGAAGTGTGGGGCTTCTGCCCCTTTCTTGGGAAGTCTTCTCTGTGGCCTAAGACAGTAGTTCTGCACCTTTTCCATATTAGGAACACCCTCCCGTTTAGCAATATAGGAAGAGAAGGGTGGTCAAGACCCCCAACACCTTATTGTGATCCCAGGTTAAGAATCCATGGCTTAATATATCTCATTGTCAGGAAATTTATTTGTGAAAGGCTAACGGTTGCTTTTCTTAACTTTATCCCTTTCGTACTAGACCTAGGAATCTTGCAACCTGTGCTTATTTACCTGTACAGTAAAAGTCTGTGGTTCCAATACAACTAGGCAGCTGCTTTAAAAAGAGAGAAAAATCCTAACTGCAAAGCAAGGCCCCTCTCCTAGCTTTGTCTTCTTCTAGGCTGCCCACAAACTTGGAACAACCCAGATGTTGAAAAGCGAGGACAGTAATAGTGAGTGAGGAATTGCCATGCCCTTTAGCGAGACACATCTTCACATTCTGGCCCCCTGATGGTCTGTGAGATGCAAACCCACTGATGTTTCACCTTCATGTGAACAAGACAGGTCAAAGCATCAGTGGTTCCAAATGTGCCATGGTGCTTGGTACTGGCTAAAAGTATGCGCTGATCTCAGTTTTCTGACTGCCCCCTGTGTACAGTTGCCAACATATGTAAAGGCATCTATCCTCTCCCCTTTCCCATTTGGCCAGGGTGTGTGCTGGGGGTTACAAAGACATGCTGGGATCCCCATTTGTATAGTGACTCATTTAGAATGTGCCTGGGCTTCTGAGGGATCTGCACACTGCCTGTTAAGCTGTCCAAGTCCTGGACAGCTGCCCAGACCTAGCAGCACATTCTCTGTTAGCCCGAAGTCCCTGTTGTGCTGCCCAGGGCCACTGGTTGATGTTCACAGCAGTGCAGTGAAGTGCTGGGTCCTGGGACCAGCTATTGACTAATGACAGAGACCAGTAATCTTAGAATCAGTTGCGTTTTTAATGAAAGCGGATTGTTCAGTCCTGTGGATGGATACTTTAGAAATGCTTAGAAAAGTAATGGCACGTTGCAATGTATCATTGTGACATACTGAGCTATTTTTGTGCTTGATTTCAGATTCCTTATGGCGCTTTTGCAACCTGTAAAGTTTTGCAAAAAAAGGTAAGAGAAGTCTAAATACTAAACGTTATTACAGTATGTGAAGTGCCTGTGTAGCGTATATGGGCATTTAGATGATGCTTCAGAGGAAGGTGAAATCTCTGTCCTTAATGCACTTGGCCAGTTGTGCAATGCTATATATAGAGGGTTTTGTGATGTTTTCTTGGGGCACCCAGGATTCTGTTATCTTGTTACTCCCCTGCCTCAGTGAGAGAGAGACTTGCTGGTGCTAAACGTGGTGTCAGTTCCCTATCACTCTAGTCAAACAATCTACTCAGAA